CATGTTCAGACAGTCTTCCTGTATGTGTCCTTCCAGCTCCCCATTCCTCATTAGAACTGAGCATTTGTTTTTGAGGAAACTTTTGAAATAAACACCAAATAGCCAGAGAATTTGCCTAATAATTTATGACTGACTTTCCTTCAAAGTCTTGATTCCTTCAAAATCTTCAAGCTCTAGTCATTTTTGCTGAATCAAAATGGAAACAAAACAGCCATTTGCTCATTCACTGAGATCAAAATAATGCACTGAATGGAAAGGAATCAATTGATTAACCATTGTCAGGTAATCAAAGTAGCTGAGGATGGATATAGTGAAAATTCATCTCACAACATGTAACAGATACTTTACTTGTAACAGTTGAGAAACAGTCCATGAAAAAGCACATCGCACTGACCTAAACTTTGTATGTTAGAAAGGTAAGCACAAAAATTTGAACCTTTCAGTGGGAAGTCAGAGGCTAAGATGTCTTTTAGGAGATGTATTGATAGTTCCTTCATTTGTGTAGATGGTTACATGATGTATTAAGAGAGTTCGACCGCTAAACTGTGTGTAATTATTTACCAAGATGTTTTTTAATGTGTACCTAACAGGTCTACCAGCCTGTCTTGATTCTCAGGACATTGGATGGTGTCAGCAGAGTATAAAGTAATTTCCATATTTCTTCACATTACTGAGCTTGATTTTATAACCTTAACAACTATGTAAGATTTAAATTACATCTGAAACACACAATTTTTCTGGGTGCGGTATGATTGAAGACAAACATTAGCCAAAATTAGTCCCCTCAACTAAGACAAGAAGAATTGTTTTTTTCCTAAATATTTCCTTCAAATATATTTGGTATCATTTTGCCCTGCCTTTGTCTAGGGATATATCTATTCTTCCTTTGTGTCTGTATATCTGTCCTTACAACCTTTGGAAATCTTGGCTCCATTCTTCAGCTTTTGAAGGAAGAGCAGGCAAAGACAAACACTTTACCTCAATTTCTGTGAAAACGGTAGGCTGGAGAGAAAAAGAAGATCAGGTTAGACCAGCAGTGAAGGAAAGGCAGTGAGGACTCAGCAATTCTAAGCTCTGTTTAGCAGCAACTGGTTGACCAGTCACCACATGCCTTCCAGTGGTCATTCATGTAGGTAAACAGGAGCTGCAGCAATGTACTTTCCATTCCCAATCTGAGATGCTGTGGAAGTGAGCCACTATATGCAGTGGTGGGATTTAGCAGTCAGGGACATAAATCCAAAAGTAAGAGTGTTTCCCTGGTTCTGCTGCTAGCAAAAAGCTTGTTCTAAGAAACACAGACATGAAAAGAAAGAAATGTGGCCATTACTTTATTAAGGCTGCTAAATGTCTATTTCTAGTTTTGAGATGAAAAGACTTGACCTTGTGCTTAAATTACAGATCATGCGACCTAGAAATCATCTGATACCTGGTGAAAGCCTGCAATTATGTACAAAGATATTATCCTGACAATTTGAAGAATCTAGAGTCTAGCTACCTTCCTTGGAAAAGTATAGTAATTTTTCCAACAGGGGCAAGTTTCTTCTTCTACGTCTCATTCTCACCACCAATAGTTTGTTGCAAAGTGGTTCTACAGGTGATAATTCTTGGAAACAAGAGCAGTCTGTACTGCATCCCCTTGCTTATTTGGTATGAACTGTATTCAGCTACATCCAATTCCTATACCAGTGCTAGCCTAAGGCACTGTTTGCAAAGCACTGCAAGTAGAAATGTCAGGATGTTTAGCATTTGCTCTTTAGGGACACAGAGATCTTTCATAGAACACTGATGAGGTTAGTATTATTAATGGAGATATCTGCAGTGGAAACAAGTTTTCTAATGCTTTAAATATTGAACATATTAAACAAAGAAAATAAGACATATTGAAACACCTAAGAAACTTGCAAGGCAAATAATAGCTCACGGCAAAAACACTTCCATTTTCCAAGGATTCTGCAATGAATATGCAGATTTCTTTTGCATATCTGCTGCATTTAAAGAGAGAAGGCCTGTTTCATTATCTGAAAAGCATTTATATGTATCAGTCCAAGCTGTCTGAATTGAGTTGAGCAATTTTAGTAAAACTTCTTTAATATCTATCAGTCATTTGAGCAATTCTGGACAGATTGTGCAATAATTGTTGGAAAAAAAAATAGAAAAAGAAATTCTTGCTTATCTATTGTTTTTGGACAGTTGTCTAGCATGATTTGACAAACAGCATATTGAAGACTTTAACAGCTGAGCATAAAAAGCCTGAACTGAAGCCATATACAGAATATTTTTCATTGACGAATCTACACTGTTGTGAGATTCATTAGAAATTCATTAATAACGTTCCTCTCTCTTAATGAACAGTAAACAGTCAGTAGCATCTAGGTGGAAAGATAATAATCGGCTTGGTGAGATGTTTGATCCCTGAAAGGGAGTCTAGGTGATCTGTGCTGTCTTCACAGATGCTGCACAGAGGACACCCCTTGCAGGAAAATCGATTCAGCCTTTGCAGAGGTATGATGAACCCTGGGGGAAGGAATGGGAATTTCTCTCCCCATCAACTAGGAAGCTAACATAGAAGACTGGCTTAAATAAGAGGCCTGGGTTTCTGGAGTCTATAATTAGGGAAAATAAATCCCAACTATTACTTTTAGCATTGTTCAGCCATTCCTTTGCAAAACTTGCACCAACGGCTTAGCCTTTCTTAAAGGTAATCAGAGCTTTTTCATAAAGCTTTTGACATGTGCTAGTCATCAATGCCAGATCTCTCTCCAATAGACTCTTGATACATGTTTCTGCATTATATATGTCTCTGCATTAGGCCTACTATCTTGCATGCATATTTTCTGAAGCAAACTTGTTTTGCTTAAATTGGATATTAATACACTCCTAAATAGAAAAGAATCCTATTTAGGTTCATCTTCTAGTAAGGAGTCATTTTTGTGTTACTTATCTCTTGATTGTCTCTTTCTAGACAAAAGTTGACTTTCATACAACATGGAGGGCCATAATAATCTCTGAGGCTTCTGCTTCTCTTTCGAATCTGGTTGAAACTGGTTAGTGGATACAAAAGTTCTTGATGAAAAGTGACAGATGGATGAACAGATGATTAAGCAGACAGATAGACAGCAGGAACTCATAAGACTCATTTCATTAGGAAACTGGACTGAAAACAGAAGTGGCAGTGGGTGGAAGTACTTGGATGATGTTCATATAATGGTCATCAATTAAAATTGCCATTTTTTTTTGCAGCAGATTCAAAGAATATAGGCAATGTCTCTAGTGGAAAAGGAAAAGCTAAAGACACAGTGCTGAGATTTTTTTTTCAGCTTCTTGTTTGGCCAGAATATTACATTTTTATAGTTTGGACTATATTTTAAATCTTTAAAGCCAAATGCAACTTGGACAGCCCTGGCAATTTCAATGGAGGATTAATGTGTGTCATTAAGCAAAGAAATATGGTCTAATACTTTTCAATAGCAACAAATGCTTGCAAAGGCACTTCTCTAATCACCATATTTTTGGCTTACTGCAAAGCCCTTGGACTGATCCCTTCCTAAATATATGGAATGTACATGCAGGAAAGCTGAGGGTGAATTGCTGTGATTTGAGATGGTTGCTATATTGCAGCTGAAAAGTGCATTCTTGCTGCTAACTCTTTTCCATTCAAGCTGATTCAGCAGAAAACTGGCCCACTGAAAAGAAAGAGGCAGGGGGTATTTACTTATTGGCAAACTGATTCAAAGTCAGTGTGTGGTCTGACTGTCAGTTATTCTGTGAAGAGGAATGGGGTTTGTGTAGACAGAGAGGAAGGCAGGAATGCACTTTCAAGCAAGTGAAGTACTTTATTAATCTGTACTAGAACAGGTTCCCCTAAAAGAGAAGCACAAGGTGAAAAAGAGCTGGAAAAAGCCGGGTAATTCCTCATTAGATTGCTCTTAACAGAAAACTCCAGTTTTTCATGGACAAGTGACTCCTTTGAAATACAGTGGCTTGGCAAATGTTGAGGGCATGGTATTTTCTGTGTAAGAACGTATAGAAGTAAGGGCCCTCTTTCAACTGTACAAACAGGGACTCTGTGACTCTGCTCCCCACTGCCTGCCTGCCTGTCTGGAGGGATGTTGCTCTGCCATAGCTGAATCAGCAGCTAACACCAACAGCAATCCTTCCTGTCTCATTTACACATGAAGCAAAGCAGGGCATCATTCCAACACACGAAGTGAAATACTGAGTTGCACACATGCAAGGTACAATTTGTAAAAGCATGCTCTGTGATGCTGCTTTTGGTCCCTTTGAAGTTAGTTGCAGATCTCCCATAAATTTCAACTGCAAAATTGGCCAGTGGTGAAATCTTTAAAAAAAATCCATGTTAAAAATATTAGAAACATGATAGAACTGTTGTTCCAGCATTAAGATCACCAGATGCATCTGCTCATCCTTTCTGTTTTTCCAGTTCCCAGATTTTTTCACCAGTTGATGCTAGAGGCTGAAAATCTTTGCCTTCTCAGCAATCATGAAAGTGCTTGAAAATTTATCAATGTCCTTTTTATAACATCCCCAAACTACTTATAATCATCTCCAAAGGAATGTTCTTTGGAATAGTACCGGAAGGTCAATTTATTCCACTGAAACACCTATTATTATAAAGAGAGAGAAAAAACAACAACAACAAAAAAGAATGAGCCAACAGCACCAGCGCAGCCCTGGAAAATATGAAGTCATCAGTAGAGTTCAGCCAGAACAGACTCCCATTAAACTCTGTTTAAGAGCCAAGTTCCGCCCTGAGATATGTGTTAGCTGCAGTTTATGTTCAGGGGGAGCTGTACTGTACTTCAGAGCAAGGCTCAGTCAGAAGTGTGTATCCATTACAAATCAAAGAGAAGAGCCCACATCCCTTTTGTATTGTTTCCCCTGTATAGATGGAACAGAATTCTTAAAGAGGTAAATAAAACAGTCCCAAGTTTCACAATGCCTTTCAATTTTGATTCTCTCCTCTCCTTTTGATCCTCAGACCTGAATGACTCTTTCTGCATCCACCAAGTTAACCTCCTGGTCGTTGGTATTTGGACAGGGTGGGGTGATGCCTCGTTCCCTGATACAAGCCGTGCGTTCAGCAGCGCTGATCTCCCAGGATTGAATTCCTTCAATTACAAGGTATAAGAGCTCATTCAAAGAGAGGGAAGAGGGGGAGGTGAGGCTCAATTCTGCCAAGCTTTGAGCAAGAAGTTCAAGTGTTTCATAGCAGAAACTCTGGTAAGTGCAAAGGCTTTTGTAACCCAGCACACCTCTCTAAACACTGAAATACTAATTCAGGTTCAAGAATTTGCTGTGTTTCAGACCTCCTAGATGGCTGTCCTTTACTTTCCATCAGATGACTAACAGGGAAAATGGCCCATCAGCTCTGTGCTTCTCACAACACGTTCATGGCCAGAGCTGTAAAAGCATTTAAGGTCTGATTAAGTGAGAAAGCTCAGTGCCATCAGGATCAAACTGATCTTGGCAACCACTTTTCCTGGATGCTTTAACAGAGGTGATAGTGTCCTTGGGAAAGAAGTTCTCCTTTTCTTAATACTGGTGTTTAAGATAACCAGCTGGAGAGAGCCATGGGAAACACAGGCAGGTCTGGTAAAACCACAATGTTGCTTCATCATGTGATGTCAATGAAGGGATGTGAAAAATTTTCCAAGTCCTATTAGCTGGAAGGTAGATAAGAAATATCCCAACAAGGATGGGGAACAGGAAAGACAGAGAAATGTGCCCTGAGAATCTGAAGAGATTATATGACCCTCAGCCACAGTTTCGTGCCGTATCTTTGCACTGATTTTGCATTTCTTTCTACATCTCCCCTTCACCCAGAGTTATGTATAGTGTGAGGGAAAAGATGTACATATCCTTTTAGGGATAAGAGATGCTTTTGCCCATAGATAACAAGCTGCTACCTCAATATGGCACACAGCAGCAAGCACAATTGTTTACTAAGCTGGACATCAGCATGTATCCCTATCTCCATGGCAGACTTCCTTCAGCCTCTCACAAGCCCTGAATCTTGCTGTGTGCATGAACAGGAGGTTACATCCCTTAGGGTCTGAGAGCTTCTTCTCAGTTGTTATCTTGAAGGAAATTGTTTAGGTAGAAAACAACACTTATTCGATTTTCCAATTTCTCATCCAGTGAGGAAAATACACCCATCTCTCGGGAAGAAATGATAGACATAATCTTTAATCACAGGACATTTACTTCCCCTCCCCCAGTGACTGCAATTTCATACCTGACAAAAATAGGCTCTGAGGCCTAAAGGGAATAGCTTGTATTTCCCTCTCTGGCCACTTCCGCCAGCTGCTGGGGTCCTCTGTGAGCTGCATCATGTTTGGAAGGGAGGGAGATCTTCCTAGTGCTTGAGGATCACATCACTTAAGAACAGAACAGAGGGAGCAGGGAGGTGGAAGCCATGCTCCTCCCTCTGCTTTGCTGCTGGCCCCTGGAGAACACAGGACACAGGATATTCTTCCTGCCTGGGGAGGACTCAGAACAGCTGGGAGCAAAGACATGACTTTTTCCTTAAAGGAAGTGCAAGTCGTGAAGGGGGTAAAGTCCACTATTTTATGCTGCATTTCATCGTAAAATTGTGTCAAACTGTTGTACCTGTTCTGCTCCTGCTTTTTCTGTCAGCGCTTAAAGCCGAGCCTGACTTATTAGGAAATGACACTTTTAAAACTGTTTCAACATCTCTGTCGCCCCATTGTTGCTCCATGAACCTTCTGACACGACTCAAATGCAGATAAGATGAAAAGATTCGTTCATCCCAAGCAAAGGCAAAGAGCAGTAGTAATGCAAGAGAAGGGCTTGGCTTGTGCTCTGCTTCCAGCTCATGGTTATGTCCCCAGGATGCAGACATTAAGCATCTTGCACAGAATGTGGGAGGAGGAAGAAAAGTTTTTGTCTGAGATTCACGAATTTTAATGGCTTCCAGAAGGGGAAATCTTTTACTAAGGAGCAAAAGCAAAGTTCAGAAAAATGCAAAAGCATTTATCTCCCTGGTTGCATTCCTGCCTGCCAAAAGTGGGAGGGTTAGTTTACTCCTCTTTGGTAAAAAGGGTCCTAGAGGAAGAATGAACTTAGAAGCCACAAACATCTACATGTGCAAAGAACTTAGATCAACAGGAAATATTCTTTGGTGGGATCATACAGGATCTGTCTATCTTTATTTGTTCCCCACTACTACATGCCTACACTTCTGCTTCCCACAGGAACTCTGACTTACCACTGATAAATCATTTTGCCTTCATTGAAATTTGTAATGATAGTAGATGGAACTGCATTTGAAGCACGTTCACTAGCTGTAATGGATGGCATTTTTGTATGATCACAGAATCATTAAGGTTGGAAAAGGCCTCTAAGATCATCTAGTCCAATTGTCCACCTACTCACCAATATCACCTGCCAAACTATGTCACTAATTTTGTATCTTTTACCTGGGTGAAACTTACTTGCCAAAAAGTAAGACTGCAGAGAATTACACCAGCCTCAGAAACAGCACTCTCTCCAAGCACAGATTTTCCAGGTTCTGCATAAATCTATGTCCTTATTTCTGTGAATGATTTACAAGATCAGAAATGTGTCTGAAAGAAAATCTAGAGCTGGTTGGTGACCCTGGATTTTATGCTCTTCCATGTGTGTATGCATGTGCATACAGCATCCCTTATTTTTGCACTTTGTCATATATTGTGCTGGAAAGTTAGCTTTGACAAGTTGAAAAGTATAAGGATTAGAGCAATCATGTATTACCACCTGCTACTTCTCTTCTTCTATGGTGCTTAAATGTTCAGGCAGAAGGCTTTGAAACACGCTACATGTAATGCACTTAAGAACTCTGCTGGAATTCCAGTTTGGTTTGATCTCCACTGTCTAAAGACTTTCTCATAGAATATAAATGAATATATTTAGGGGAAATTTATTTTCAAGGAGAAAACCCTAAAGTCCTTCCAACTTGATATGCTTCACTAGTTGATGTCATTTCTAAGGGGTTTTTTTTTGCGTTTTATCTTCATGTTTCAGGAGGCCTCCATCTCCTCCAGAATGAGCAACATAATGAGGGAAGACCCATCCATGAAGATTAATCATATCTTCCCATGGAAGATGGATGTGTTCAGCATCCCTTGTTGGGCACTGACGTGGCAAGCAATTCTTTGGTGATTTTTGTTTACAAAGTAGATAGAATAAGAGATGAATTATTATTTACAGCTAAACAAAGCAAAATAAAAATGTTGTATTTTATCAAGAAAGAATGGGAAGAATGTGAGGGAAAAGATGGTAAGAACTGCTAGTGATACGATTAGGAAGGAGACATTGACTAGAGAGCTGGAAATAGAGGAAAAATTTGGCTATGTCAGGCTATAGATCAAGCCAGCAACTTTATGAAGGCTTTGCAAGCTCATCTTTCCCATCTCACCACATGAAACCACCGTGCACGACTGCCATTTGGAATTGGATTTGTTTAAGATCTATAATCTATAATCTACAGCCCTAAAGCTAACCACTGCTTGAGTTCTAGACATGGAGGAGAAGTCACCTCTCACTGGGAATGGGAAAAACATCAAAGATAATCAACAAGGTTTCATTTGAATTGGTCCCTTTCCATTAGGAGATCAAAATCTGCAAAGGAGCAACCTACAGATCATCCTTTTTCTCCCTGACTTTGTGCTGTTGTATCTGGACTTGCTGGTGTTGGCATGCTGATGTTAGCAGAAGACATTCACTCCACTCTTCTCCATGACTACTGCAGGAGTGGTATGAATGACAGGAAACATGGCCAGGAATGCAAAGCATCCTTCATTTTGAAAAAAAATTTGAAAGCTTTGAAGAGATTTTGAAAAAGAACAAGAAAGCTATGAGTTCTTCTTTTTGTAAAGCAAAGAGGAAGCAGGAACAGAATCATGGCACTGAACGGCAGTTTTGTTTTCTGGTCTATTCTGCTCAATGCTTTATGCAGGTTTTTCTGCAGACTAATCCTGTGCACATCCCCCTGTTTCCACCAAGGGCTTAATTGCTATTAGTTACTGATAGTACAGCCTGGCTTAAAATAGAAATAAATCCCACTGTGTTCAGTGAGGGAAAACTGGATCTTTGTAGAACAGAGACTCCCAAAATTGAAGTCTGCTGATGTTATTATGGACATTGAAGGGAGACAGACAATAATAAACTGTCCCAATTGTGGGATCCAGAATGTAAAAAATAAGTCCCAGGTTCTAAATGAAAATTCCTATGACAGGAAAGATCTGGAGGCAGGAAGATAGTTTCGCAGCAAGTTGTGGAGATGGGAGAGCAAAGAGAAACCAATGGAGAAAAGGGATGGTGGTGGAAGAGGGGACAACTCCCAAAGGAAACACGGCCTCAGCGCATTGCTTGACAAATGAAGATTTATGTCTTCCTTGCCTGTGCTTTCTTCCTTCCCACTGCTGCGACTGTGGAACATCCTTGAAAGAAGCAAGGAAATTATGTTTAGTAACTGGGCTGTCTCTCCTTTGCTGAGATATGAGCCCTTACCTGTAGGCTGAGAAAGAGACCAGCATGAAGGTGGGGAAGAGGGGGGGTAAGAGGGGAAGAGGATATCTGAACTAGACAACCTGAGAAGGCAGCTGTGAGAGAAAGATAACAAGCAGAGACTGGTCTGCTCTCTGTGAGCATCCTTGCATAAAGATACACCAAGAATCTTAATTTTCTGCTCTCTGTACTGTTCATCAGAAGGACTGTGCTCATGACACTGGAATGAACTGTTGTACAGTTGGAAAGACAATCTCTGCTGGATTACAAATTCTGGTTATATAAGGACTTCTTTAAAGTTTCAGGAAATAATAGTCTCAACTGAAAATGTGATTTTGTAATAAACTAGTAAATTTCTAGCTCTAATATGCATTAAGTAAACCTTCAAAATTGAATTCAGCAATATATATATACATAGATCTCAGAATATAGAAATGAAATATAAAAATAGTATAATTTTGAAGTTAATTGAGAATTTTTGAAAAGTTCCCCAAATATTCTGAATTCAAGGATGACATTTTCACACTAATTCTTCTTAATCCACTAGAAATACTTTTCTCTCTGCTTTTCAAACGTGAAGCTCTTTAATAACTGGTGTTAAGTGATTTCTGAATTATTTGCTTAACCTATCAGTTATCTGGTTTAATTAAAGCTGGCCATCAGCACCTGTTTTTTCATCCTTTATTAAGTGATTGAAATATCCAATTAAGGGATGAGAAGCACCTTGTTTTCAGGTTAACAGATGTTTTTTCAAAGAAAGCAAGGTGGGGTTTTTTGTTGTTTTATAGAGAGAATAAATGTTTATTACACAGAGGCATGAAGTCAATCTGAAACAAAATTTGTGACGTCTGTTCCAGTATAAATTCATTTGTCTCATAATATTTTGAGATAGACACAGAAATACAGAATGCAATTTAATTGATTTCCTCTAGATTTTTGCTTATGGAGACATGAGTCTTGCACTGGTGTACAAGATAAAGCAAATGTTGTGATGCCTAAATTCAAAATATGGAGTGATTCAGTGTCGACACCTTTGTGAGCTGACAGGCTGTATAAATAGTCAGCAGAGAGAGAGTTGAATCTGGTGTCTACAAGAAAGAGTTTGAATAAGGCTGCTTCACTGATGCTTTACTGTATCATACAAAAAGGATTTTTAAAAATATTTTCCAACTCTTTATATATAGCCTAAATCTCTTTCTTGCTTTCTTCCTCATTGTTGAGTTTATGCCTCTGCCAAGACTTCAAAAATCTAGTCATTTTTCTGCTGCTTTTGGAGGTGTCTTTCATATAAAAAGGAAAAGATAAGCTTGTGGGTGTTGGTCTGTGAATGGAGATGCAGTTAGAGAAATAAAACTCTCCATACCCATAAGTCTGATTAGTGAAAAAGTGCATAAATACTGAAGAGGGGTGTCTGTACGTAAGTAAGTGTAAGTCTGCACACAGATGTAAACTTCTTATATGCATACACTGTGTGTATGATGTATGTGTCTGTATAAAAAGAATTCAAATCCATTTTGCAGGTTTGCTGTTGCTGAAAAAACAAATCTAAACACCTGCACATACATAAAGGCTTGATGTTTGATTATGCTGAGCTATAAGCTTTTTACACATGCTCTTTGTAATGTGGACTGCCTCCTCAAAGTAAATATTTTAAACATGCAGTCCCCAGGAAAATAGGAATTTATCACTCACGATAACATGAAACTGTCACAGGGTGTGTTCAAAAGCACCCCTGCAACTTACTGATAAAAAGCTTAACTCTGTTTCAGGGCTTATCTGAAGAAGAAAGAGGTAGACCCTCATGAAATAACTGAATTTTTTTCAAGGATGGAAAAAGAGAAAGAAAGGGAAGGTGCAGAAGAACAAATGCAGCAGAACAATTTTAACCCACTGAGATTTTCAGTAAAGTTTTCTGCTTCATCAGGAAGAATCCTGCAGTGAAACATATGTCAGAAGAGAAGCAGATATGAGAAAGTGGTCTTCTTTGCAGATGAGAAGATTAATTAAGAGAGAAATCACTTAGCCAGATGTCTCATTGGTGAAACTATACGTGCAAGGTACATCTGCAATGAGAGATCAGCAGAGCAAAGACAGTGCATTTGACTTCTTTGCTAACATTAGAGAGGAGACTAGTGTGAATTAGATCATGCTGACCCTTGGAGAAATTGAGGAGCATGGATCTGATTTCAGCTACAAATTACAAGGTACATGCCTGTTATCATGCTGCATGATCATTGCTTGATATAGTTGAGTTATGCGTTAGAAATAAATTATGCAGAGAAAACAGTCCTTTTCTCTATTTGCTTATAACTTGCTGGCAGACCCAGAATGAATGCCACTTTTATTCTTTCACAGAGCAGTTTTACAGAATGCTCTGTAGCCAGTGGATTTCTCAGGAACTCATTACTGGGGTAACTGTCAAATTCATTTGACTTAGGAACTGAAGTCTTTCAGAAATAAGTTTAAAGCATGGTCTGTGTGCTGCCCAAGTACCTGCTCGGCTACGGTGTTCAGGTACCTTTGTCACTGCAGTATTGTGTTGACCCCAATTTTTCGTGCATTTCTTATTACAACTCAAATGTGAAGCCAAAAAAAAAAAAACAGAAAACAAAAAACAAAAAACAACAAATTCCTCCCCCATAAAACAAATCAAACTGAAAAACTCATCACAACAAAACAACAAAGATCCCCCTTGTGGCAAGCACTGTATTTTGTAGAACTATGGATTCCTAAAATAGTTTAGGTTTGAAGGGACCTTTTAGATCATCCAGTTCCAACCCCACTGTCATGGATAAGGTTGCCACAAAATAATTTTGCCAGTTGCTAAATGACTTCTAAGCTGCATCTTTTTTCCAAGCGTGTACTAGAAAATTATAGAGTAGGAAGCAGAGAGCTGTTGCACACTGGATCTGTTGGGATCTGTTCTTTTTTCTGTCTCCTACTTGTTATCAGTGACTTTCCATACCCAAGACTAGCCAGGGAAAGCAGTCATTTTTCTACTACCTGTAAAATCTCTATGTAGTCTACCAGCTTTTTGGGGAAAGAGTGACTGCACAGCACCTCACACAATCAGATCTCTCTGTTGGCTTGAATTTCTCTGTGCTATAGGAATACTAATCCCTCCTCAACAATAGAGACAGGCACTCTGCAGAGCAGACACACAAACAGACTTTCATTAGAGAATGCAGTCCCCAAAGCCTGTTTTACAAAAGGCTCTGCTGATTGGACTCAGTCATTTGAACAGTGATGGGTACAGCGTATGTTCCACAAGAACCTCGAAAGAAAGGTGCAGCAGTATCAGCAATGAGATGCAGACACGGCACAATTCTGTGTTAGTAATAGGCTTAAACACAAAAAGCCAAAGCTGAATCTTTAACACCTATTGTGTGAACTGTTGGTTGGAAAATTTCTCCATTTTTAATTTTTATTTTGTGAGAAGCAGATCTCAGAATTGCTGGAAAGTCTATATTTTATAAAAGCAAGCTTCTATCTCAATGGACATCTGTCCTCTGACCCAGTTTAGCAATTCACCAGCACTTCTGCTATTAATTACTGAAATTTCAGGTGTGTTCTACGCCTTCCAATTTGCAGACTTTCACATCCCCATCTCAGGCATTGAGATGTTGAGGAGAAACCCTGGAGTATAAAGCAAAATTTTCCAATTCATATGCGCAGTAGTGGATAACAAATATACTGACAGAGGCATTCAATTTACATAAATGCTTTGTGGCACACATTTTGAGCCTTCTATGCTAAAAATGGGAGGTTATTATAATCTACAGGTTTCCTCACTTATAAGTACTCACAGATTTACCAATGAAGACCAGTGTTTTTGTAATCAGTAACCCCTATTTTTTGTTTGTTAGTTACTGTCACAGGCAAGTGATTGAGGCTGATGAAATTAGATCTGCCTCCAAAGCAGTGAACAGTGCTGTTTAAAGGCTAAAAGACTATTTGAGCTTTCCACATGCCACATGTGAAAGTATTGCTCCAGGAACATTCAAAGGACCACTTTACAGCCCTTGAGATTCAGTCTTGCCTTTTCTGTTGGGATAGACATCTTTGAACCCCAGCAATGGCTTTGCATAGCTCACTGACTCTCCAGACTGCACTTTCTACCCAGCGATGCTGGCTTATGTGAATACTTCACCTCATGTTGCTCACTGACTCAGAACTGAGTCACTGCAGTCCAACAGGAAGAAGGCAAAAGCTGCAGTTAGAGTAGAGATTGCCCAACTTGTGGAATTCTTCCAATTTTGTAATAAGTCGGGCAGTTACTTCCTGTGCATCTGAACATAGTTTGGAAGAAGCAAATATGTCACTAGATGGTGATATACTTAGAAATTATGTGTTTCAAAGTCGGGAAGTTTACATCTCTTTAGTGAGGCTAGTCAATTAAAATGACAATAATGGTATGAAAAAAAAAGAAGAAAGAAAATGGACATACATTCAGAGCACAATATTGTACTGAATCCAAGCCAATGAATTTGAGGTCCCAGCTCCATTTTTGGCTTTGTTATCAGACTTCTTTCCTTAGATATTCCTGGATTCTAGCTACATGCAAATGTCCGTTACAGAAGAATGATGGAGTAAATATTTTACACACTGCCTAATATCAGCAGGCTGAACTACTGGCTCACCCAACTCTCCATTGAGCATACAGAGACCCCCCTGTGAGCGATGGGATATTGGAGCCAGGCATGGCTCCCTGACATTATATGGTATGGCACCTCCATTCAGAAGCAGAATACGTTTGCTGTCTTTGCAGAGGTGAACGGTTTAAATCTGAAACAGAAGTCTGCTCCCACCTGGATTGGTAGGATCATACTGTACTTATAGAATTAATAAAAATCCCTTATCAGCTGCAAGTGAACACAAGGAGATAAGCAAAGAACACAAGCAATTAGGTAACTTAACCCTGCTTAATTTACATCAGTAGGTAGCTGCTCTGCAGTCTCATCTGCGGGTACCTAGGAATAATTAATATAGTCAGTAATAATTAATTCATTCAGTCTAATCAAAAGGTTTGGTGATTCTTTATACATTTTCACGCCCATTTCAAAGATTTTCACTATAGTTCTGAAGAAAATGTGTTTTCCCAAATATTCTGCCTTTCTGGTAAACATCTGCCATCTGTACTGTACTTCTCCTGGTAGTACACCAACCTTTTGATGTCTTGTAACTTACTAAAATTACTGGAATTTTACTAACAAATAAGACCTTCGTCTCCAGACTTGACTCCCAAAACTTCAACCGTTATACAAATAATGCCCTGGTTTTACCAGAGTATGTATAGTACCAGCGTATGTTACAGAATTATCTTTAATTTTATTCTTTCTGTGTCATTTGAGCCAGGTAATTAAAAAATAAACAGATAAACAAAACAAAAAACACCAAAAACAATAAACTGAGGGACACAAAGTGAAATAAGATACATTCTGTCTGAATCAGTGACAGAAAATATGACGGAAGTAAAGAATAGAGTCTTTTTTTATTTTTCAGGCTGAATTCTTATTCTAGCTAGATTGGAAACCACTTATTTGGTGTTTTGAACTGGCCCTTGGCTTGTCAGCTGGCCAAGTCTGTAACTAGAGATGGTAATTTGGGTCTGGACCCTTGGAGATACTGCACAAGGAGCAAAATGAACCTCACTGAGTCACTACCACTCTCCTGCACATGTATTGAGAGCACCAGTGGAACTCATTTATTCAAGCTTTTGTAAACGCAATCTCTCAGAATCCTGAATTAGCCTGCCTGTTGCTTTCCTGTCTATAATAGAAAACAAACGGTAACAGAAACAATAGTAAACAAGTC